CCAAAGAAAGGGAGAGCACGGAGAAAGGCTGCACAGGAGGCATGGATGACCAGGTAACAGACATAAAAAACGGCAAAATAATTGTGCACGCAAGCACACACTGTCAGAACACTGAACTGATCTGTATTTGGTTCGTGTGGTTTCATACAGAGGGTCATACGGTGAGGGCAACACTCAGGCAAATGGACATGTGAGAATGCAAGGATATATTAATAGATTTCTTTTTAATTTAACAATGTCAATAATGTTGTTAATATGTGCAATACAATAATTTAAGATATAGTTATTTGAGAGAGTGACAAGTTTTCTTGTCGTGTTTACCACGGGGGCTTGAGCCCCATGTCAGGAACCAGTCAAATACAGATGACAGAGACAGAGAAGGATTTGATGTTTCAGACATCATCGTCTGCACAAAGCCTGCACATCCTGATCCTAAGTTTATAGTAGTGCAGAAGCGAGCTAATAGTGTGTTGTCTTTTAAACAAAAGTGGTTCACAACTTTTCCTTGGTTGCATTACAGTGCCACTTTACAAGGGGTGCTGTGTTTTCACTGTGCTCTCTTCAGGTTCTCAGGACATGCAGAAAGTCAGGTACATTTCCATGCCATGAACATCTTTGCTCAAAAAGGGAACACTGTAGCTTGAAAACTATCTTCAGCTGCTGCCAGACAACAGGAGGAACCAAGGTATGGATTATCAAAGATTGTAGCCTCCATCAAATACTTAGCTCAGCAAGGTTTAGCTCTACCAGGTCATGTAGGTATAGTTTATTGGTGTCAATACAGTAATGCAAATGATTGAATATATAAATAAATAAGCAGAGTCACCATGTGGTATTTTTGCCATCTGCAATAATTTCCTTAGGGATAAATAAAGTTGAGCACAAAGTTATGCCTATGCTCAATTTTGAGATTTTGTCATAAGAAGTGGTGGCCATAACAACTCATCTCAAAAAAATTGGAGACAGGGTCTTTGTACTACTGTGTCAGTTATAACAAGCATTTCTGAGTTTGGGATTTTTCTTTTTTTTCTTTATTTGAATAATTTGTTCTGGTTTCTGTTTAATTTTTTATATTTGTTTGCTTTAGAGTGTAATTCCTCCCTCAGTCTTCCTTCCTCTTGTATCAAGTCTTGTTGTATTACGTTTATTCATGTGTCTATGGGTTTTTCCCATTTACCTTTTGCACTTCCTAGTTCCCTTTGTGAGGTATTCATTTATTTTTGTAGAGGCTAAGGCTAGGCTTGAAGCCACTGAGGTGTTCGTTGGTGGGAGTGATGCAATGTCACTGGTATGAATTAACTTATTAGACTTGATACAGTCCAATAACTCCAGCCTTACTCATCTTGTCCTTTAGATTCTTTATTTCCATGATTTAACATAGCAGCGCAGCAAACTGTTTGCCTCCTTACGATCAATAACACACCTGCAGCTAATTGTGTGTGTCCACCTTAAATAACTTACCATAAACATAACATACAGAAAAACTCAAAAGGTGACCTCTAGTGGCATACATAAGGCATCCCTGAGATCACCTCACATAAGTTCAGTTGGCCTAGACTCTAGTGCAACGTGTGCTGTAGAAGTGGTGAAAAATGCTACATTACAAAGGCTCCAGTAGTTTCTTCAGCAGACCACAAGGTGGGGCTCTCTGTCCATTTAAAAAACATTACATAGAAATGGTGAGTTTTATATTCTGGGTTCAAATACAGTCAAACAAACTGGGGGAAAAATAATTAATGCACTTTATCATCCTGACTGATAGTGAGGATGATGGCATTTATGAGGAGGTCAAACTGATCACTTTCCTATGTGGAGAGAAAAGAAATAAACCTTTTTGGGGAAACAAGAGCAAAAGTTGTCTGTCTCATGGCTTCAGCTGGACCAGGATGCCAGAGGTTTTGAACCTGAGTTTTATTTATTTAACTACTTAACTATTAACTGCTATTAACTTGGTACCAGGTGAGTTAAAGAGACACTTGGAACCCAAACAGCTCGTCTGAATAGAAACTTTCTGTACAAATCCCAAAAGTTGATTCTGTTCACGTGGACGTAGCGTTTTCAGTACGAGAAACGTTTCATTACTCATCCAAGTGACTTTTTCGGTCTCAGCTGACTGCAGGTTTCCACAACCTTACAAACAGTACTTTTGCACAATGACTGAAACCAGCACCACTGACGAACAATGAGCTGTGAGGTTAGTTTTCTGATTAATATGCAAATTCTCATGACCATTGATCAACAACCACTGATCAAAGCCAATTGATCAAATACTATTGATCATTGATCAATGACCATTAATCATTGGCTATAAGTACCATTCACAGAGAGTTGGGGAATGGCTGCAATCACAGCATTGTAGATGGATGGCGAAAGATGTACCCTTAGGCCCCCTCTCGATTCAGAGATGGTCTTTCCCTTTTCACGTAAATGGCCTCCTTGACTCCGCCCCCAGCGTTCTCCCGTCCAGGATGTTACATCCTCATCCTTGAAAGAGTGTCCACTGGCCTGTAGGTGTAAACAGACTGCAGAGTCCTGGCCTGACGAGTAGCTCTTCTGTGTTGTGCCATCGCTTCCAGAGGTTGTTTGGTTTCCCCGATGTATAAATCATGCCAATCCTCCGTGCACTTAACAGCGTACACTATGTTACTCTGTTTGTGGACCCGATCCTTGGTGGTAGATATTTTGGCGAGCATGTTTTGGGTTTAAAAGCCACAGAGAAGCAGTGTTTAGAAAAAATGCGTCTCAACTGTTCTGATACTCCTGGCACATACAGGATCACTAAGGGATACTCCTTATATGTCAGTATTGGAACAGCTGAGACATATTTTGTCGAACACAGAATCCACTTTTTGGGATTTCCTTACCTGGATGATTGAGCATGCATCAAGAGATTTATTGTACAAAGCTCATGGTCTGAACCATAGACAACAACAGTGCATGTTTTACTGCGTGAATGTGTCTGATAGGTTGATAATAAATTATATGCTTGCTGAGGCCATATTGCAAATAGGCGTCACACCCAAAAGTGCCTCTATCGTTTTTCATTTCATTTCATGTTATTTTTTTTCTGCAGTAAGACTGAAGAATTTGTTTTATATATGTAATGAGACCTGCTATGGTTCGGAGATGGTGGCACTAACAAAAAACTAGGAGGTCGAGCTGGAAGTGGCAGAGCTGATAAGTTGCTGATATTTTTATGATGCGTGTGCTTTGGGGACAAAAGTTTGGAAACCGTCTTTTTTTCTCTTCCCTTTGTGTTTGCCCCCCAACCATTTGCGACAGATGGCTGCCTCTTCCTGAGCTGTTTCTACCAGTGATTTCTTCCCAACTGCCTTTCACTCAGGCCCATTCAGACAAAAAGCTAATTTGGATGAAATGGTAGCTTTTGTGTATCAGTTACTGTTACACCTCCTCACTACAGTAGATTGTGTATTGACTCAGTGATCTAATGAGTTGATAAAACAATGTGGCTCTTTTAACACTTGACACTCTTTCCTTCCTTGCACGTTTTAAAAAACAACTTTTCTACAACATTTCTCCATGTACATTTGTAAGTTTCTTCCCGATATTATATAACATAAAAAATAAACACAAAAAACTCTGTAATTGTATCTATAAGAAGTTTTCCCCCAAGACAATTTACCAGAATCTGAATATTTTATTAATCCCAGAGGAAATTAATTGGTCACAGTTGCTCAAAGGCAGTAAGAACAGTACGGATAAGTTAAAGTAATTCATTAAATACACTGGAAAATAGTCCTAGTAGTAAATATAACTTATTATAGAAATATCCAGATATAATACAGCACAAACTGTTTATGTTTCAACATGTGATGCTCAGTATGGGGGATAATTTTGCTAACTGTCGGATGATTTTAATATAAAACTCACGCTTTACATATAACAGTTATTATTATTGTTATTTTGATGACCGAGTTGTCGAACTTATTGGCGAACCAAATTTGGGTAAACGACAGTTCTTCGCTCGACTGCTCTTCCTGGCACCGACGGTGCCAGCCTTAAAGCGGCTGCGCTCTTAAACCGGAAACTACCTCCTTTGGGTTTCAAAATAAAAACCATGGGCTTCGACGTCGCGTAAAAATAAAAGCTTTAAACGCCATATAAAAACAATAAAAAAATGTAAAATGTATGCATTTAATATTCGAGTATAATCTTAAAACGTGTCGGACTGTAAAAGCGCCAATTAGTTTATACGACTTTTTTTTTATTAAAAGACTTAAAGGTGGACGTAGCTAATTTTCGCTTACTTGACGACGGCTTACCGTTTGCGCTTTAAGTGCCAAAACGACAAATGCAAACAGTTGTTATCGCTACGTTTCACCAGCGTGAGTGTCCAAGCAGGGGACACTTTGCCGAGACCTTCTTAAATGTACATATTGCGTCACAAAACCTCAGTGTTGGGGTGTCGGTGGATGACGCAGGGTTTTCTCAGTTAAGTTTACACAGGATAGTGTTGACATAAGCAGCTCCCGCAGAAGAAGACGACGGTGGGGCAAATAATCCGAGTCACAAGACTTCTTCTCCTTCTTCAGTGAGCCGCACGACTGCTTTCTTCCCTCCCAGGTAAAGTACGGATTCATTCGGCTTTTTCTTTCATTATTGATGAAGCAAGCTGCAAAGCACATTTCGGTTAAAAGCAGCAGCGCTGATGAAAGTTAGCCGTACGGTTACACCGTGTCGGCTTGTTTGACAGCTCGGTCCTCGTCACGAGGAAAGAGGCTAATCCGCTGTTCCTGGGACCGCGCTGTGTTTTTCGCTGCTCTTGTGGCTTTTAGCCCCGAAGCCGCAGGCATGTAGCAGAAAGAGAAGTGCAAAAAAAGCGGAAATGGTTGCGAAAACTTCACCGTAAACACAGATGTGCTGTCATTAACTCTGCAGCCGCTGTTTGGTATGAAGCGGGTGAGGAGGACAGAGAGTAGCTGTTGTCGGTGCCCGTGTCTCAACAGTAAAACAGTTAGCAGGGGGGCTCTTTGACCTCTTACCTGTGCGCTACTATGTCTAACTTTTGGACGAGTTTACGTGGTAAACATGCAGCCGACAGAGAGAGAGGTAACTAAAGCGGAAAAGCGGATACCTACCGTGGGGCTAGTAGAAGTTAACCCTCCCTCTCTTCTTTGTTTCCCCCTACTTTCCCCCATTAAAAGGCGCTGAAGGGATGGAAAACCCCGGGTACTGCTCCGGGAGCTTTGACGGCCTTCATCATCCCAGCGATGACGATGATGACGAGATGGTGGACATCGCAGGAGCCACGCTGGACTTCTCGACCACGGACGACGTCCCTCCGCTCAGCTCAGGTGGGGCTGCTGCTGCTGGTCTTTCCAACGCCTGGTTTCAGTGCTGAGCTTTTTAAAGTTCATAAACCATTTCAACTAAACTCTTATCAGGGAGTTGTGAGGCAGCTTCAAAGCACAAGTCATGTAACTTGCTTCAGCTAACTCTGGCATTAAAAGTCCCCCTCAAAGTAAATAAATACAAAAAAAGAGTTTAAATTCAGGAATCACTTTCAGCCTGTTTCCTGCACGATCTTCTTTCTTCTGACAAATGGGGGGCGGGTGTGCATGGTGATTTTATATTGATATTTTATTAAATACATTCAAGTACTCTGGAATTATTATGGGACAAGAGGGCTCATTTTGCCTGATTGGAGGCAACGTTTTCTGCAAGCAGTTGCAGTCTGACTTGGACTGACTGCAGTCACTCAGAGAGATTGTTGGAGGTTGCTGTATAACCTCTAAACGCCACAGAGTCTTTGTCAATGAGCGCAACTCGGGGAGACTACACTCACCTCGCTTTGTTCTGGTTATAATCCTAAAGAACAGGAGAGGTTGCTGAGGGCATTTCTGTCTGTGTAGACGGCAACAGATATGTGATTTTGGAGGATATGTCACAGTTGATTGTTGCACCATCAGAAACAGACTGCATGTAATTGCCAGCTTGAACCCATACAATCACAGACTGATAGCAGACTGATTCCGTCTTACTTTAATGACAGGGTTAGTCAACCATCTCATTTTGCAGCAAAAACATAACTGACGTGACAAAAAGGCAGGAAGTGTGTGGCAAAATGTTAAAAACTGCAGTAATATCGCATCGTGAGTGAAAGATTGTGTATTGTGGGGTATCTCGGTGATTTCCACCTTTACTGTCAATGTAACATGTATACAATAATTATGAAGTGTGGGGCATGCAGTTAAACACAGCAGTGTAAACCGGTTGCTGCTGTTTCACAGCTAAGGTGACTCTGGGATTGAGTCACCTTAGCTGTAAGCTCGTCTGAAAACGCTACGTGCTATACATGCTCCCAGTGACTTGTTTTACTAATTAATATTAGACGACACGGCTAGTTTAAAAGTAAAACGACAATCAAAGTGTGATGGACAAGGTTACATGCTCCCAGTGACTTGTTTTACTAATTAATATTAGACGACACGGCTAGTTTAAAAGTAAAACGACAAACAAAGTGTGATGGACAAGGTTAAAAACTGATGTATTTTTGTCCCCTGCTGGAGATAAAAGGAATAGACCTGAAGCTAGCAAATGTCTATCACAGATCACACATAGTTTACATCTTTTCTTATACAGCTAATAACAGGAAGGAGAATGCTTGCCAAGAAAGAGGTCTTAGTCAGAATTAGAAGAAGGTCACGAGTTTTGTAATCGAGAATTAGCGATTATACATTTCCATGCCATGAACATCTTTGCTCAAAAAGGGAACACTGTAGCTTCACAGCTTTCTTCAGCTGCTGCCAGACAACAGGAGGAACCAAGGTATGGATTATCAAAGATTGTAGCCTCCATCAAATACTTAGCTCAGCAAGGTTTAGCTCTACCAGGTCATGTAGGTATAGTTTATTGGTGTCAATACAGTAATGCAAATGATTGAATATATAAATAAATAAGCAGAGTCACCATGTGGTATTTTTGCCATCTGGCAATAATTTCCTTAGGGATAAATAAAGTTGAGCACAAAGTTATGCCTATGCTCAATTTTGAGATTTTGTCATAAGAAGTGGTGGCCATAACAACTCATCTCAAAAAAATTGGAGACAGGGTCTTTGTACTACTGTGTCAGTTATAACAAGCATTTCTGAGTTTGGGATTTTTCTTTTTTTTCTTTATTTGAATAATTTGTTCTGGTTTCTGTTTAATTTTTTATATTTGTTTGCTTTAGAGTGTAATTCCTCCCTCAGTCTTCCTTCCTCTTGTATCAAGTCTTGTTGTATTACGTTTATTCATGTGTCTATGGGTTTTTCCCATTTACCTTTTGCACTTCCTAGTTCCCTTTGTGAGGTATTCATTTATTTTTGTAGAGGCTAAGGCTAGGCTTGAAGCCACTGAGGTGTTCGTTGGTGGGAGTGATGCAATGTCACTGGTATGAATTAACTTATTAGACTTGATACAGTCCAATAACTCCAGCCTTACTCATCTTGTCCTTTAGATTCTTTATTTCCATGATTTAACATAGCAGCGCAGCAAACTGTTTGCCTCCTTACGACCAATAACACACCTGCAGCTAATTGTGTGTGTCCACCTTAACTTACCATAAAGTTAAGGTGGACACACCAGAGAAACTCAAAAGGTGACCTCTAGTGGCATACATAAGGCATCCCTGAGATCACCTCACATAAGTTCAGTTGGCCTAGACTCTAGTGCAACGTGTGCTGTAGAAGTGGTGAAAAATGCTACATTACAAAGGCTCCAGTAGTTTCTTCAGCAGACCACAAGGTGGGGCTCTCTGTCCATTTAAAAAACATTACATAGAAATGGTGAGTTTTATATTCTGGGTTCAAATACAGTCAAACAAACTGGGGGAAAAATAATTAATGCACTTTATCATCCTGACTGATAGTGAGGATGATGGCATTTATGAGGAGGTCAAACTGATCACTTTCCTATGTGGAGAGAAAAGAAATAAACCTTTTTGGGGAAACAAGAGCAAAAGTTGTCTGTCTCATGGCTTCAGCTGGACCAGGATGCCAGAGGTTTTGAACCTGAGTTTTATTTATTTAACTACTTAACTATTAACTGCTATTAACTTGGTACCAGGTGAGTTAAAGAGACACTTGGAACCCAAACAGCTCGTCTGAATAGAAACTTTCTGTACAAATCCCAAAAGTTGATTCTGTTCACGTGGACGTAGCGTTTTCAGTACGAGAAACGTTTCATTACTCATCCAAGTGACTTTTTCGGTCTCAGCTGACTGCAGGTTTCCACAACCTTACAAACAGTACTTTTGCACAATGACTGAAACCAGCACCACTGACGAACAATGAGCTGTGAGGTTAGTTTTCTGATTAATATGCAAATTCTCATGACCATTGATCAACAACCACTGATCAAAGCCAATTGATCAAATACTATTGATCATTGATCAATGACCATTAATCATTGGCTATAAGTACCATTCACAGAGAGTTGGGGAATGGCTGCAATCACAGCATTGTAAGATGGATGGCGAAAGATGTGACCCTTAGGCCCCCTCTTCGATTCAGAGATGGTCTTTCCCTTTTCACGTAAATGGCCTCCTTGACTCCGCCCAAACAGCTCGTCCAGGATGTTACATCCTCATCCTTGAAAGAGTGTCCACTGGCCTGTAGGTGTAAACAGACTGCAGAGTCCTGGCCTGACGAGGTAGCTCTTCTGTGTTGTGCCATCGCTTCGCAGAGGTTGTTTGGTTTCCCCGATGTATAAATCATGACAATCCTCTGACTTAACAGCGTACACTATGTTACTCTGTTTGTGGACCCGATCCTTTGCGTAGACTAGTTTTTGGCGCAGCATGTTTTGGAGTTTGAAAGCTACAGAGAAGCAGTGTTTAGAAAAAATGCGTCTCAACTGTTCTGATACTCCTGGCACATACAGGATCACTAAGGGATACTCCTTATATGTCAGTATTGGAACAGCTGAGACATATTTTGTCGAACACAGAATCCACTTTTTGGGATTTCCTTACCTGGATGATTGAGCATGCATCAAGAGATTTATTGTACAAAGCTCATGGTCTGAACCATAGACAACAACAGTGCATGTTTTACTGCGTGAACGTGTCTGATAGGTTGATAATAAATTATATGCTTGCTGAGGCCATATTGCAAATAGGCGTCACACCCAAAAGTGCCTCTATCGTTTTTCATTTCATTTCATTTCTGTTATTTTTTTTCTGCAGTAAGACTGAAGAATTTGTTTTATATATGTAATGAGACCTGCTATGGTTCGGAGATGGTGGCACTAACAAAAAACTAGGAGGTCGAGCTGGAAGTGGCAGAGCTGATAAGTTGCTGATATTTTTATGATGCGTGTGCTTTGGGGACAAAAGTTTGGAAACCGTCTTTTTTTCTCTTCCCTTTGTGTTTGCCCCCCAACCATTTGCGACAGATGGCTGCCTCTTCCTGAGCTGTTTCTACCAGTGATTTCTTCCCAGCTGCCTTTCACTCAGGCCCATTCAGACAAAAAGCTAATTTGGATGAAATTGTAGCTTTTGTGTATCAGTTACTGTTACACCTCCTCACTACAGTAGATTGTGTATTGACTCAGTGATCTAATGAGTTGATAAAACAATGTGGCTCTTTTAACACTTGACACTCTTTCCTTCCTTGCACGTTTTAAAAAACAACTTTTCTACAACATTTCTCCATGTACATTTGTAAGTTTCTTCCCGATATTATATAACATAAAAAAGAAACACAAAAAACTCTGTAATTGTATCTATTAGAAGTTTTCCCCCAAGACAATTTACCAGAATCTGAATATTTTATTAATCCCAGAGGAAATTAATTGGTCAAAGGCAGTAAGAACAGTACGGATAAGTTAAAGTAATTCATTAAATACACTGGAAAATAGTCCTAGTAGTAAATATAACTTATTATAGAAATATCCAGATATAATACAGCACAAACTGTTTATGTTTCAACATGTGATGCTCAGTGTGGGGGATAATTTTGCTGACTGTCGGATGATTTTAATATAAAACTCACGCTTTACATATAACAGTTATTATTGTTATTTTGATGACCGAGTTGTCGAACTTATTGGCGAACCAAATTTGGGTAAACGACAGTTCTTCGCTCGACTGCTCTTCCTGGCACCGACGGTGCCAGCCTTAAAGCGGCTGCGCTCTTAAACCGGAAACTACCTCCTTTGGGTTTCAAAATAAAAACCATGGGCTTCGACGTCGCATAAAAATAAAAGCTTTAACGCCATATAAAAACAATAAAAAATGTAAAATGTATGCATTTAATATTCGAGTATAATCTTAAAACGTGTCGGACTGTAAAAGCGCCAATTAGTTTATACGACTTTTTTTTTTATTAAAAGACTTAAAGGTGGACGTAGCTAATTTTCGCTTACTTGACGACGGCTTACCGTTTGCGCTTTAAGTGCCAAAACGACAAATGCAAACAGTTGTTATCGCTACGTTTCACCAGCGTGAGTGTCCAAGCAGGGGACACTTTGCCGAGACCTTCTTAAATGTACATATTGCGTCACAAAACCTCAGTGTTGGGGTGTCGGTGGATGAC